TAATATATAATCTTTTATTTATTTACTTTGAATTCATATAATATTTATTTATTTATGTTCGTTCGTTTACGTTCATTTAACATGTTAACGAACGAACATAAACGAACACGAACACAAACACAAAGATTTTCGTTCGTCTACTGTTCGTGTTCGTTCGTTTGTTCGGTTAAGTTAAATGAACGAACATGAACAAGCCTCTGTTCGTGTTCGTTCGGTTCGTTTACAGCCGTAGTTGCCAACTATGCCATTTTAATGACCGAAAATCTTAACCAACAAGTTTAATGAGGATGATGCCAGTAAGTGGTAAGATTTTTGCTTGTTATGCCATTTTGATAGCCTAGTTATATACAAACACACCAAAAAGCTTTCAAGACACAATAAAGTATTATAAAGATAAATAGTATCTGAGATAAAATGAATTAACCAACTATGAGACTCAAGACTGAACCATTTGAGTCAGGTTGCTTCTTTGAACACAAATTCTTAAATAATAAGAAGCATTTATTTTGAAGGATCAATTCACTGTTGGTTTACAAGGAGAGATTATGGCATGTAAACAATTGTAATGACTCTTTTCAATGATGGCATAGAAATAGAAGAATTGCAAGAAAATCAAGACCAAATTCACGAGTGATCTCCATGCTCTTTTCATGCATTCATCTGCTTCTTGCTCAAACTTGGTTTAGGGGCCGTTTATCCGGTAAGCACTTACTAATAGGACTCAACACTATAATTTATTTGAATGCGTAAGATTTTAGTACATCAAAGCGTATCGAATGCAACAATTTACTAGGTAAGCGCTTACCTGGGTAAGAGTCGTCATCCTCACTTACCGGGTAAGACTTTTCATCCTTTTCATCACTCTTACCTGGTAAGACTTTTCATCATTCTCATCACTCTTACCCGGTAAGATTTTTGGCTCTTCTCATGTTCGTCTGATAAAAAAATTTATGCGTTAAACACTTACCAACAGAGGCGGACTTACCATGTAAAAAGTGGGGGGAAGGGCCCCCATTAAAAAATTAAAAAAAAATGAATTTTCCTAAGGTTAAAAGTTATCTTTTTACTTTCTACTATGGTTCTCCTCCGTAATTTCTTGTTAGGGCCCCCCACCAACTAAAGAAAGTATCTTGAAATCAACCAAAAAACTTAAAAGTTCCTCAAAATCGATAAAAAAAACCTTAAAAATCCCTCGAAATAATCCAAAAAAACTTCAAAAATCTCTTGGAATGGTGGAATTAGGCTAAAAACATATCGGACGACTTTCTGGGCGTTTAAGCTACCTTAAAGGTGTCCTACTAGACCAAAATCCTGGATCCGCCACTGCTTACCAAGTAAGTGTTTAGTAAACAACCCCTTACTTAATAGCATCTCAGTAAGCATAGAAATGGTATGCTTTCAAAACAAAGCAAGACAATCGTTATCTTTTTTAGCTAAATATCAAAAACATAAAACTTGAAACCTTTATAATACAAATGGTATGCTTTGAAAATGTGTACATTGTGCATAATGGTCTGTACTTCATATGTAGTTTCTTAATAGGTGCGTTTGGTACACTGGCCAGGGACAGGACAGAGATCCATGTCTCATGTTTGGCATGAATTTTATGTGGAACCGACAGGAACAGAGTGGAACAGACCTGTTCCACCCCTATCCCATGGAACAGAGTGGAACATACTTATATTTTACCAATATAACCTCAAAATAAAACGTAATTCTCTTCTAAAACATCAAATAGGTCTCTCTTTTACATTTTATTCATTTTTTAAATTTTATTTATTGTATTTTATGTTTCTTAACTTTCATTTTATTGTTCTCAAAATATTATTTTTATACGGTTTCTATATTTTTATTAATTTATGTAATTTATTATATATTAATAATAAAAAAATAATGTAGAAAAGAAATAAAAATAAAAATAGAAAACCACATAAACTTTTTATTTGGTGTCATTTTAATTGTTTTGACTAAAACTTCAAATGATATATTTTGTTATAAAAAATAATTATTCTATTATAATATAATAAATTACATAAATTGTTTTCTTGATTTTATCACCGTCAAACGTATTGCATGAGGTTCACGCATACAATTTGTTGTTTTCGATGAGTTTTGTATGTTTTCCCTTTATCGTAGTAGTAAATATTCGATTTTGATCTTACAGGAGTGATTGTACAGGTGATAGGTGAATTATTTTGTTTTCTGGAATCCAAGTTTTGTGAATGTGATGATACTATATGAGATCATTAGCCAAATTTGTTTTCTTGATGCTTATATTTTATTTACTATTTGATATTTAATCCATTTTAATTAATTGTAAGTTTGTTGGTAGTAGTTTTTTCTTTTTAGTATGGAATGCATATAGATTTGCTTCGATAATAGATTATTGATGCTTATATTATATTTATCTTTTTCATATATCATTAGTTGATTATGAAATCATGTATTTTTGCAAATGTATTTTTGCAAGTAGTAGTGGTTTGATGTAAGTTATACTTTGCATACCGTATTTGTTAATATTTATATTGATTATTTAGTTAAAAAAAACACTAAACAGCTCACTGGGGGTAAATTAGTCATTTTAACCGGTTTTGTCGTGTCTTACCAAACGCTGAACAACTGTCTTGTTCTGTTCTGTCATGTCCTGTCTCAGTTCTGCATTCAAAAGACATTTAGTCCATAAGGAAAATTCTAACTTTACTTCACACATTCAGAGCTTCATACAACACCAGTTGATGTTGTTGCTGCTATCAATGATGTATCTTTAACCGTATGAGTTTCCCAAATCAATATAAGGATGCATTCATAGAAAAACATCAACCTCAATGATGTAAACAACTACACCTTGATTTCTTCTTCAATCGTACGTACATATACCCAAGGCCTAATCTATTTGTTGGTTTGCCAAATCTGTTGACAGAGAACCCAAGATGAGTACACATAGAAAATGAATATTATACATTTATCACAATCAGAGAAAGATCAGCATTTTCATTATTTTTCAACCAACCATCATACTATCCTCACATTTAAAATAAAATAAAGTCCACAAAACATTTAAATAGAGTTTGGCACTTGCTGAATGATTAAGTGGTCAGAATGATTAAGAGACTATCATGATATAGTGCAAAATGAAATATAATTGTTTGGTAACTGTGTACAATGAAATTAGGGCTCTTAATGGTTAAGGGACATCCAGGATACAAAATCATTCAGAGAATTTTATAACCTTTTTTTTTACCAAACAAGATTCACCTTTTAATGGTTAAGAGATTGCTTCTTAATGAAACTATTAAAAGGTAAACAAACAACCCCTTACTTATGATAAAAAGAAACAAAATGCTTATGAATCAGCAGGTTGCCTACACAAGTCCAGGAAGACCAACACCAAAAATGGTGGATCTACGAGGTAGAATATAGGAAACAAACATCTTGTAAGCAAACAATCAATCAAGTTTTAAACTATGACCTTGTTTGTTCTAAAATCAAAAAAATCTTATTAACCTCTTATGTATATATGATCATTTAAACTGTTTGTGTTTTTTCTTCCAATTATTTAGAGGCAATTATGTCTTATTGTCTTCTTATCTAGTAATAGGTAAACCAACCTCTTATTTTCTCCACACCCTCAGCAATGGTGTTTCTCAATCGATTAACCTTCATCGATCATTTCTATTAATCGATCCTTACCACAAATCGATTCTCACCTCTCTCAATTGTTGTATTTTAAAAGGATTTAAATATGTTAAATACCGCCAATAACATATTTTCATTTAAATGAATGCTAATTATATAATGTAGATGTAATTTTCATAATATTGATGAATAAATATGTAAAATCGTATAAAATTTATCTATAAATTCAACAGATAATTTAAACAAAAATTCAGACATTTATCGATTTAAAAAAACAAACAATTTTTACTTGTAGATTTGGGATGGGGTTTTGAAATCTCAAGATTCTATCTATTTGAATTTGGAAACCCTCCATAAATTATCTTTTTTAGGTAAAAAAGTGGTGGTGGGAGTGGGGTTAAAGGCACTACAAGATCAACTCTAAGAAAGCATGATTTTTTATAGTTTGATTGGAAGCTGGAAGTAGAAGGAAAGTTCTGTTTTATTTTTGGAAGAATAAAAAAGTTATGGTTTTTATAAAAACACTTATCAACTTATTATAAGTCAGAAGGGTTTAATTTTTCAAAAACTCTTTATTATCGGTATAAGTTGTTTATCCAAACACTCAAAAGTGTTTATTATCGGTGTCCACCGAAATAAGTTAATAAATTATTTTTATAAATAATCCTAAACACCCTGTTATGCATAAAATTTAGGACCTTTTGCATTATAGATTGTAATTAAAAGATCTGTCCATTAAATGACAATGCATGATGCTTTGGATGTTTCACTTGTTTTCGGTCAAATGCATATTAATGTAAAAAAGTCATATAAAATATTAATTGAAAATATTTACTTTTTGAGTCTTATTATCTTGTTCAAATTTATTGATAAAACTTGTTAGGTCGTCTAACTTCGTTCTATTAATTTATTTTAACGCCCTTAGATATGACACACAATTCTTCATTTTATAAGCTTAAAATCTTATTAAATATTTTATTAGAACACCCGATTGTCATCAACGATGACTGGACACCTGAAAAAAACACATTTTAGTTTATTACCATTGATACACACACTATAAAACATTGACATATTTTTCAATCGGCAATTTCCGGCAAAGTATCGACGGAGCATTCCGATGATGTTTGAAAATCCGCGGATAATCACGATCACCGGTCTCATTGTCTCCGGCAATAAGATCCGCTAATGATGACTTTTTCCAACGAACTTCCATCGGTAAAACTTTTTTGTTTACGGTCACAACTCACAAGCATATAATTCAAATTTAAAACTCAAAACTCTATTTTTTTTTTACTTTCTATTTTATATATATATATATATATATATATATATCTACACATATACTTACAATTAACTCCTACCCTATACTTGCCACTATTATAAACCTGCACTTTCTTTCAAGTAGTTCTAGAAAATAAAAAGGAATTAACAAGAAAAACCCTAATGACTTCTAGACCCAAAACACTACATAGAACCCAAATTAGTTAAGTTAAAACAAGTCATCATTTTCTTCTAAACACATGTTCATAAGGCCTTCATGCCCTTGTGCAGCAGCATCATCAACCAGACATTTCTCCAAGAAACTAAGTGATGGCATTTCTGGTTTACTTTCATCCTGGAAGAAGCTTGTTGTCTCTGAAACCTCCGAGTTGCTGTAGTTTTTGAAGCCATGATCACTTGCAGGAGGACTTGGAAACTGGTGGTTCAAAGGCCCGAGGCTTTCGGAGCTCGTCTGTGAAGATTTTGGGGAGTTTTTGAGCCAGTTTGGGAGCATTCGAGCGATGTTTTCAGCACTCAATGCGTAAGTGGTGGCGGTGAAATTCACCGGCGGTGGAGGTAGCACCACCGGTTGGTGGTGGATGGGTGGAATAGTGGTGGTTTGTGGCGGCTGCTGATGCTGCTGCCATGAAGTGGTGGATTTGTTGTCAAGTGATAGGGCTTCAGTAAGGGCTTGTTTAGCCTTGTGGATATCAGTTTGGAGCTTTCTCTCCCATTGACCTTTGGCAATGGTGGTGGCTCCGGAAGATGATGATGATGTTGAAGCACCATGATGATGATGATGGTTTTCTTGGTCGGAATTGCTACTAAGTTTCTTTTTAAGATGGGTGTTCCAGTAATTCTTGATATCGTTATCGGTTCTCTGGGGAAGGTATGAAGCTATTGCTGCCCATCTGCAAAATCAAAGCAATTTGTCCCCATCAAAATCACATTAAATGTAACCACACATATATATATATATATATAATGTGTGTGTATATATATATATATATATATATATATATGTAGGTACCTATTGCCAAGAAGGGCTTGGAGATGTATGATCATGTTATCCTCTTGATCAGTAAAATTGCCACGCTTGATACCAGGTCGAAGATAATTGGTCCATCTCAGTCTGCAACTCTTACTACATCTCATCAAACCTGAACAAGAACATATTAATTATTCACAGTAACTATAAAACAAAATTCCCACAAACGAAAGAAATCTGTCTTTCAAAACCTCCAAAACTTAAAATCTCAAGAATCAATTAATTCAAGAATATATATATATATATATATATGTGTGTGTGTGTGTGTGTATGTATATGTATGTATATATACCAGTGTTGGTAGGAACAGATCTCCAATTGCCAGGACCATTTTGTTGGATATAAGAAACAAGAATTATATCTTCTTCTGGTGTCCATGGCCCTTTCTTCACTCCAATCTTATCACAGCATGGGGGCCTTCCCATTTCGATCGATCACTTCACCTTCTTGATTGATTCAGATATATATATATAGATACAGATGGACTGTCACTATATATATATTTTCTTTCACCAACAGAGTGTGTGTGTGATTGTTTTGAAAGGAAGAGTGTAAGATAAACATTATAGCAAGTCTATATATAGAGATATATGTGGCGGTGGTGATGAATTTGAAGGTTGACCGGAGAAAGAGGTTGAAAAATAGTCAAAAAGATGACAGCAAACAGCATTTACTGGTAGTCCAAAAAGTCAACTGTGATTCATGCTTTCATTGCTTTTAACTTTTTTTTTTTTTAACATAAATTTTTAAAAATCATTTTTATACATAAAACACTATTTATTGATATATATTAATTAAAATTCAAGATCACAAACAAATGATGTATAGGTACACTTATTAAAACTTCATTTTTGAATTTATGTAACTAACTATAGATAAATATCTCATTTTAAATATAAAAAATTTAAAATATAATTAGAATAATCATTAGTTATAACAAAATACTTAATTACTATATTTATAAAAAATATATTATTAAATAATAAATAAATTACTTCGTTATTAAATCTAAATTAAATTATACATAAAATTATTGAATTAAAGAAATTACACAAAAAACCAGAATTTAAATAGTAAATTTGATACTAATATCGATATTTTTTCCCCAAATTTTTATGATATATTTAAATTTATATTTTATTAAAAAATAAAAACATTATCGTTTTCTCAAAACCATTAAAAATCGACATAAATAAATAATAAAACGAAACATTAAAATTAAGATATATCTCACTATATTCTACGAATACCCTTCGGATTTCTAACAAAACAAATAACAGATTTCATCATCATACATTGGACGGTAAATATATTCATTAAAGCTGGATCACGTTTTGTAAGAAGGAAATTGTTTTTACTTTTTTATTTATTTATGATGTTTAAGTTTGTTGAAAAAGACAATATATGTATTCTTTTTTATTTGATGAATCTAGTTTTAATTTTTTATTTATTTATGAAATTATATTAAATTAGTTTTAGCATCCTCACAAGTAGAGTTATATATATATATATATATATATGGGTTGGGTTTGTCAGGTTAAAGGCATAGGGAGAACTCAACTTAATGTTTGTGGTTTGGAAAATCTCAACTCAAGCAAAACTACAACTCAAATCGTCCAGGTTGGGATGGGTTGAGTTGGTCGTGTTGAAACTTTGGTATATCACTTTACAATCTAGCCAAGTGTTTTTGTTTAAACGAAGTTTAGTATAGAAAGAAATCAGATTCATCAGATTGAGCTGAGTTTAAATGACTCTAACCCAATTCCAACTCAATGACTTCATTTTATATCAACAATATGTTAGTTTACCTCGGGTTAAGTTTTTTTTGTGTTTCTTTTAGTTGGGTTGGTCGGTATTTTGAGCACCTCAATCCACAAGTACTCTAAATAATGATTTTAAACTACTTTTGATTTTAAAATTTTCTCACGAAGAAAAACATAAAAAAAACCGAAAATCTTCAAGTTTTTATCCTAAAATTAATTTCTTAAGATTAAAATAAATGATTTGTTCTTCACGTCTCCATTAATGAGATCGAATTATTGTTTAATGTGAAAAGTTTATTAAAATGATGAATTAATAAAATAACTTAATGAAATAATTAATGTTGCATTTTTGTGGATGCATTTTAGAAAAGTTATGAAAACTATGTCAAATACAATCTAATTTAAGTTTATATTTATAACACCAATCGCAAATTAACATTTTATTAACCAACAACTTTTAAATCAACTTAAAAATATAACAGATATTATCGAAGATCCATTAGGTTTAACTATAGAAGAGTTCACAAACTAACCTAACTAAGAAAGAACAATAGTCTTCTGTATAACGGATATTATCAAAGATCCATAACTTGAGGGGTGTTCATGGGTTAGGTTGATCGGGTTGAAGACATTTGAACAACTCAACCCAATACTTGCGGTTTGAAAAATCTTAACACAACCCAACTTGAACCAAAGTGCAACCCAACCCAATCCAACCCGTACGGGTTGGTCGGGTTGATACTTTGGTACATTAAAATATTTTTTTAACCAAGAATATGTTATTTATCTTCTCAAAATTTCTTTTTTATCATCAATCATTTAATACAACTTATCCATGTTTCTTACGTATATCACATTCAGTTGATTTTTCCAATTTACACACACACACACACACACATATATATATATATATATATATATGTTCATAGTTACTGAATATATATATATATACGAATTATTTATATAAAGATGTGAATAGATTGAAAATATGTGTATATGAAGAAACATACATGATAGTGTAATTGTTTAATATACATATTAATAGAAATTCAACAATCAAACTAAAGCCAAGAAATAAAATGATATTGGGTTCATCAGGTTGGGTTGAGTTCAAATAATGGTAACCTAATATCAACCCAACACCTATGGTTTGATAATTTTACAACTCGATTAGACATCGGGTTGCTTCGGGTTAAGTTATTTCGTGTTGGGCTGTATTGGGTTGGTCGGGTTTTTAAGCACCCCTAACTTGAACTATACGAAGATCTCACAAACTAACTCAATTATAAAAGAATAGTAGTCTTTTGTTTGAAAACTATACGAAGAGCTACAAATTAACATTTAAAAACGGATTTCACCCAAAATTATGATTATTTCTATTGGTTTTATGATTTAATTTTTTTTATTTTAACGTGTTGATGGTGGACTATGAATACATCTCCAAACTTTCTTTAAAATGAAGAGGCAAAAATCTAAATCTCTTAGAAGAATTTACATTTAACTGTTACATATTTTTTATTTTAGAGATCACAACATTAACGATTTAATACATTTAATAAATATTATTTCTATCTAAAAGACATTTAGTCTCAAAAATTCTAAGGAGGTGTTGGTTTGCAGGATTCTAACGGAATTTGAAGAAATTGGAATGATTAATTTCATTGATCAAATTCAATCCAGATGTTTGTTTTATATCTGGGATAGAATTGAAATCTATGCATTCCATCATTCATGGATTTTGGTCATTCTATCACGATTGAGAAGAAATGCGATTGCATTCGATCCCATTTTCTCCAAAAGACAAAATTATCCATCTTCCCTACTTGATTTACCTTAGACCAATATGACCATCGTTTTGAACCACCAATCTAAACCACTGTACTGAACCACCGCAGACCACCATCAATTTGAATCATTGTTCTGAACCACAACCGATCACCACTGTTATAAAAAGGGTATTTTGGTCATTTATCATTTATTCATTCTAATTCTTAAGCTACATTATACCAACCAAACATGTAGATTCATAATCATTTAACATATTTCATTTCAACCAAAAGCGCAGTCAAACTCCATTCCAATTCCTTTAAAGTCAAATTCTTTTGACAGTTTCTATCGCTTCAGAAAACATTCTACTAACCAAACGCCTTGTAATTTGTCCCATTTGATTTGTATGATTGGAATGAATTTGAAGGGATTTGGAATTGAATTTCATTCAAATCCCATATTTGGTTTGAAGGATTTCATGGACTTTAAATCCCGGAATTTCATTGAAATCCCATAAACATAGGATTATAAAATCCTATAGAGGTGGTTGGTATTTCATGGGATTTCGTAGAATTTGTATAAAATAATGTTTCAAACTTTGTTAAAAACATTTATTTTGTAATAATCAAATAATAAAAAAATAATTTAATTATTTTAATAATTTCTTGTAATTTGCTTTTATAAATAATGGAATTCAATTTCATTTCAAATCCTACAAACCAACACATCAAAGATTCCAAATTCTTTCAAAACCAAATCTCTAATTTCAAATCCTTTCACGAAATCCAAATTCTTAAAAACCATTCCATCAAAACAAATACCCCCTAAGGCTATGTTTGGAAACTAACAGATATGTGTTACCTGTTAGTTGATAAGCTAGCGGATAAACAAATAATGTTTGATAAAAACTAGCTAATAAGGTAGATGAAAAAAGTAAAATGACCAAAAAGAACATCTTAAAAAATTAGTCAATTACAAAATTTAATAATCTAATTAAAACAAATCCCTAAATAATAAAATATGTAATCAATACAAATAAAATAGTAAAAAGATTTAAATGATATAATATTTTAATAAA